AAGCGATACAAAATCAGTAAAGTGCCGGGAAAACTCAAATTAAGTTAAAGAGACAAACAAGAGACAAACAACAAAATGAGTGAAGCTAAAGACATACCACTTCCACCCAGAATGGGAGGGAGAATATTTTTTTGTGATGTCACATTCAAAGGTTATTTGCCTTATTTGTAAAGCAAGCGTCGCTCTGCCAAAGAAAGGTAACGTGGAGAGGCATTATCGGAGTGTTCACAGGGCATATGACAGCGACTTCCCTCCGAGTAGCGAGTTGAGAAAGAGAAAGGTCATGTACTATTGCTACACAAACATTATCTCGCAGTCTTAGTGTCGCCAACTCGTTTCTAACATGCAAAAAGACAAACAAAATGCGTCTATGGTCGGTGTATTTTCGACCTTTCCAATCCAGACGAGATCTCTCTCTCCCGTCTGTGTGCGGGGCATTTTACGCACACGCGGCTGCTACATGCAGCAACACACGGCGTGGATGGCGGAGAGAAGCGCTCCAAGGTGTGGTTAAATGTTACCCGTCTCGAGGTGGACAATGCTCCTTGCCAAGAGTGTTTAGCATGTAAGGGCGGTAACACGAGCAATTTGTATGGGCATAGATATGTCTCATAATTATTTGTGTGAACATAAAAATAATTTGTGTGTAAATATTTGATTTGTAAATGTAAAACACCATCCACAAATGCATTTAAAAGATTTCTATTTGGAGTGAAATGACGTTCGATTTGGAGTAAAATTACCTTCTATTATGAGTAAAATGGCAGTAGAGTTGTTTTTAATATACACTACATAGAGTAAATAACCATTAAGCCGAGTAAAATCTAAGCACATAATAGAGTAAAATGAACTCTAAAAATACAACTCTGAACAAAGAGTACATTTTACTCTATATAGGTTGGGACCAAATGTTATATTTTTAGAGTAAAATGTTCTTCAATTTGAGTCAATTTTACTCAGAGAGATTTACTGTGTGGCAATAACATGTTCAAAAGGTAAATGACAGCAAAACAGGTTTGTAATTGTGTCTCTTGTTCCCCTTATGGCCGGTTTGAATGTAGCAGTTGTGAGCTCTGTCCTAGTAATTTAAAGAGGCCCTATTGTGCTTTTGGGGGATTTCCTTTTTCTTGTAGATTATCTAGGTCTTTGTGCATATCTTTACCTTTAACAAAAACAAATGTGAGTCATTTTTTACAAGACATGATAGATAATATGATCTCTCTATACTTCAAGCATCCTATCTCTGTATTCAGGGTTTTGAAGTTGAGATATAGCAAACAAATGGAGGTGAGCTTGATTTACTAACAATGCTATTTACACCGGGTACTGGATGATAGGTGTATAAAGCCTGTCTTTAATAAATATAGCATATATTGTCTGGAAATGAGTTTTTTCAGACATGTAATTAGACAGAGGGTGTTAGAAAAATATCACTTGTCACCGGCTTGAGCTTCAATCTCAGGATCCATGTATTTGTGATCCTCTCCAGAATGGAAGTAGTCATCACATACAGAGCATCAACTAGTTCCTGAAGTGTCCTTCACATGCTGATATCCAAGAGAGGGAGTTACACAGTCACAAGATGGAGGAATAGAAAGCAGTATTTAATGTTTAGTTCAGATTAGCTCCACGTCAGAAATGAGCATGCTTGTCATATGTCTATCTCCCTAGAGGCTGAATCATCATGTTAATCACATAGCTATCATATGCCTAAAACAGTCCTGATGCTCTTCTAGGTAATCACACATCCTGTCATGTTCACAGCTACAGTTGGGATACCTTTGTTATCATGTTACTCTGATACTGGAAGAGTACATTCAGTATTTTCCCAACAGAGGGTTTAGTAAACGGCCATACGGGCTACAAGTGACACAATTATAAACCTGTTTTGCTGTCATTGTATTCATACTAGAAAAATTAAGTTAACACCAAAGACTGACTTAAAAGGAGTGAAGCCTGTAAGGTAGTTCAGGCAGTCCACTCGGGCAACAATGATACATATACAGTACACGTGACATGTATTGCCACCCAACCAATTCTGTGAAATCGAGCGCTCTATTTAAAGCGACCTATTATGCAAAATGCAAACCCTCTCTCTTTTCCTCCGTACCCAAATCTCTAAAAACGGGGCTACAGCGGAGCTGATCCAGATTTGTGTCCGATATGACGTAATATCAGAAATATGGACCCACGGCCCAATCAGAAAGTTGCTATTAGAAACAATGCCCGACTGTTTTGGACGTAATATGGTCTTTGTTTGCATTAGCTGGCATCGCTAACACTTGCTAACCTGTACTGGAGAGAGTATGTGTCAACAATTGCATATCGGAGACCTTTAAGTTACAATATTTGCCATCTCTCCCACCACTATCATCACTGCTCAATGTAAAACATTATTCTATGAGTGATGAGTAGTTGCCAAACTCAAACTATACACTGCTGTGAATGAACATTTTATATGCGAGTTGTCTGAATGAACTGATTTTCAACACATGCATTTGTTTGTATGCCTGCATTCACACTAGGATGTAAATGCATTTTCTGTGTGGATGCCAGCTTATAAATGCGAGTCCTGGAAAGAAGTACAAAGGAACATTGGGCTCCTTCCTGTCCTTGGTAAGATATGCATGAGTACAAAAAGAATAAGAAAGAATCGATCTCCAAAATAATGCTCAAGCAGGGCCAGAGTGCAGCCAGCATGCTTTACATAGAGCATATCCGTTTGTGCTCTATGGAGATGGAAGGTTTTGGGAAGATGAATAATTTCTTTGCTGAAAAGCAACTGTGAGCAGGTTTTGGCCGACTGTTTTCACTGCATCAGCTATCTGCCAATTGTTCTGGTGGCTAAAGCTTCTTAGACTAATTACTACAGAATCAAACCATCCCCTCTTTGATTCTGTAAATGATAAATGATTGATTACGGTCATAGCGAGATAGAAAACTGAGCTCTCCTCTTCGTTCAAATGAGTTCTGGAGGAAGTTATCGGTTATAGGACTCAGGTAATATATGCTACACTTTCATTTTCCCACTGAGGTCTTGCAGGCAGAGTTCCCGTTAGCCGGTAAATTACCGGACTATGACCGGTAAAATATGCTGAAGACCGGCAAATCTAAATCTCTCCTGTCAAAATAATTTCCCTTTAGCGCAATACCGCATCAGTTGCGCAACTTGCGCTACTTATGTGACAGACAAAAGAGTATGTGACAGACAAGAATAGTCAATTCTAATGTCTAACACTTAATGTGGAGAAAGAGATGTCCTGTATACATGGGTTGATTATGCATTGATCTGTTGGTAATGCCTCGGGGTTCCGGTGGGCATGTAAACAAATGCATAATGCTGCGCTATACTTTGCGGCCTCACCCGGTTGCATAGTGACGCGTATTGTTTAGGTGTCTTTTAATAAGCAGGTAGTCCTATCATTAGCTAGAACTAGCTGTATCTGATCGATATGGACAGGGCCGCCCCTCCCTACAGGCCAATCACGCAGGCTGCATGGGGCCCCGCCTTGCGCAGGGGGCCCCGCCCAGAGGGCCTCAGCTGCTGTGCGCAGTTCTCCGCTCAGTTCTCCGCGCACCCCCCGCAAGAGTGAGAGGTGAGAAGGGGAGCACGTCTGTAACCCGACACCGTTGCGATGAATTGACATCTGACCAATCACGGCTTTGATACGGCCACTAGTGCAGGTGAAGAGATGTCGGTGAAAAGACAGTTTCAGTCCGGCACAAGGAAGAGGGGATAAAAACAAAACATGAAGAAACTAGAGCATCACTCGAAGGTGGGTTATTGTATGAGTCAAATGTACAACTTGCGAATGTTGTATAAGTCAAATTGCCAATTGCCATATTAAAACATCAGCTGCAATTCACGACATGAAGAAGGCAGTCTCTGCAGAGCATAGAGGCTAATGGAGATGCAGTTATTTCCAGCATTCTTTATTTACCATTCATTCAAGTATGTGATGCCTTTTATCTGCTGATGTACAGGAGGAAGAGTGATACACTGTCTGTCTAGTTGGCTTACATAACAGTTAAAGTTTACAGCCTAGAAAACATGGAGCATTTTTTCCCCTTTTATGTCAATTTGCACATTTCATGGTGATGCTCAGCCTCTCCCCTTAACTCCTAACAGTCATCATCATGTCAACCACAACACAGAAATACTGATAGAAATGTGTGTGTAGTTGTTGATACATTGCTGACAGAGGGAACTAGAATACAGATTTAAGAAATATCAGTTTTTGAGCATGTCATAAGCATGTTTTGTCTTGACTATACAACTATATTATAATAAAATAATATAGTATTTATATTATTGAATTGATTATGATTATTATTATTAGTAGAAGTAGTTTATTTGCATTCATTATATTTTAATCTTTTTGAGGCTAGTATTTGGCAGGAAATGCAGACGTACATGCACATTTACCATTTACCTCACTGAAAAGTACAAAAGTAACTGTGTTGATACTAATAATAAACAGGAATTATATTTATATAAGTAGCCTACTTTGTTTCCAAAAAAATGTGTTTCACTCCTGTCGGTTGGGGGGGGCCTCATCTCACAATGTCGCTTGGGGCCCCAAGTTGGCCAGGGGCGGCCCTGGATATGGACATAAATGTGAGTGAAGTCTAATCTGACGGGAGAGAGAGATCAGCTGCTGCTGACAAGTCGACACGCAGCTCTGCATAATCACATGCAGCGGTGAGCGGACAAAACACACACTTCAGGTTAGAATATCACACGTAGCTATTTTAATTACCTCTCAAACTACCTAAACTAGCTATAGATATGTTTAGTTTTACTGTCGGGTCACTCATTACGGAGCGTCCACACTACAGCTTCAAAAAAAGCTTGGAGCTGGGCGTGTCTGAAGCTTGGGGATGTTATTCAAGCAACACAACCAATCTCCCGCCCCCGACATACAAAGCAAAAACCCCCGGGGATTTTATGCGAGCAATATATATATATATATAAACTCCCCAAACAGGCGAAAACCTACCAGTTTCACCCACTGTCTCTGCCACCTCCCTCCATGCCTGGTTCCTCCGGTTTGTATCCCGGTAGGTGAAGAGGGTCTGCTCATACAAAACCGGGTGATTTGCTACGGCGATAATTAGTTTCTCCTCCATCTTTTTTTGAAATATAGAAATGAACGGCGGGATATCTCTCCCAGCTTAGACGCGGTTTGATTGGCTACGGCTTGAGCTGTCAGATTTTCCGAAACGGGATTTGATTGGCTGGCGCTGGCTACTCCGGCGTCTCCGGCGTCAGAAGTTGAATGTTCAACTTCTGTCGCCGGAGACGGACCGCTCTGCTACCCACAATTCAGTTCGGCGAAAAAAAGCGGCAACGTGACGTCACCCCATTCAAAGTGAATGGGCAGATTGAAGCTGTCGACGCTGCAGACGCTGCAGACGCTGTAGTGTGGACCAGTGTTGCCAACTTGGCGATTTTCTCGTTAAATTTGGCGGATTTCCAAACCCTCCGGCGACTTATTTGTGTCAAAAGCGACTAACGATTAATCTAGCGATTTATAATGGTGTTATTAGCGACTTTTCTGGTGTTTGGAGACTCACATTGTTCTGCAGTTAACGAGCCGCGGGTGCTGCCGTGAGCCCCGCCTCCCTCCCATAGTACTCACAGGCGCTCAGAGCTGCTGCTGCAGTCAGAGCAGAGAGGAGACAACCACACTCCCCCGCGTCGAGACTGCAAATGAATTGCGCATGCGCCAACTGCCAAGCCGTCCTGGTTTTGAGCGGGATTTAAATGTTGAATGTAAATGTTTCTTCACTCACTTTCACACTATAATAAATAACTGCCTTTGCTTTGCTTTGCCTCACACAGCCTCAGTCACTCAATCACCTCGTCCACTGTGTGTGTGCCTCTCTGTGACAAGCTAAACATCATGGCACAGTCTAAATTGTATTCTCAAAAATACAGAAAGGAGTGGGAATCAAACCCTGAGTATAAAGGATGGTTGAAGCCATTTATTGGAGATGACACACGGGCATACTGCCTTTATTGTAAGGGGGATTTATATGCCAAACTGTCATGTTAAAACCCCAAAACATACTCAAAAGGCAAAGACATTTCTGATCTACTGTCGTCTGGATTTAACTCCGGTGGTTTCAAGTTTTGATCCTTGAAGGGTTGGGAACGTTTTTTGCCTACAGCCGCCATTACATGTTATGCAAATTAGGCGATGACGTCATTTAGCGACTTCTGGTGACTTTTCGGACAGCCAATAGCTACTTTCCTTACTATGGAGTTGGCAACACTGGTGTGGACGGGCCGTTACTGATCCGCGAGCTGCATGATACTGACGGGCTGTCAGGAGAGGGAGAGAGCGCTACGTTTATTATTCCCGTGTTATTGTAAATTACTGTACACTTTTGAATAGTTAATCTACTATAATTAGTTTGTTTAATCATATCAATTTGTTTTCAAGCTCAATAAATAACTAAGAAGACCTTTGACCGGCACTTTTCAAATTTTGTCCGGAAGATTTAAACTTTAACGGACACGTTGACCGGCGAACAAATATTGTAACGGGAACTCTGCTTGCAGGAGTTTTATAATCACATGCTGAAAGGACCTGGCATTACTGCTAATCTGCCCTGCTCTATCTCTCCTCCGCTAATAACATTCATTTGTTATCCTCTTCCTCACACTAACACTTGAGGACAGACACTCTCTGTGGGTATTAGCCTAAAAAGTGAGGACTGAGGACACAAGTCATCATTAGGGCATCACCATTGTGAGTAATCCCAATTCAAAGAGAGGGATGTTGGTGCATGAAGGGATCTAATTTACAGGACTAATCTCTCCTAACTACCGCACTGTGTCTCCAAATGTTGGGATTGTCTCTGAGAGTGTGAATCACACTGGGCAGGATCTATACTCTGATCATAGCTGACACATCTTAAAAGGACAGTCTGTACGAATAATGATGACACACATGTACAATATGTTCTGTTGTTGAATACAAGTATGTTGCATATACATCTAAATACAGTTTGCAGGAAATAAACCTTACCCAGTTTAGATTTGTTGTCATCGTATTTTGCTATCAGTGTCCAGTGGTAGATTGACCTTTACAGTCATATAAAGTTGTCTGCCATTTTTCAGTATATATTATTTGTTATAATTTAACGGTGCATGATCATATACATCTTTGTATACTGTATACAACTTGTACAGTAACAAATGGAATATCAATATAATGTTCTCATTTACTACATGTGAAGTCTTTCAGAATAAAATGACATAAAACCATGTATTTATCACGTCAACTTTGAGATGTATTTATTAAACGTGTACAAGTTTACTTGTTTACATCATCATTATTTTCTAAGTAAGAACGCCATAATGATTGGTCTTCCTAAAGATCAAGCTGCCACCTGTATCTTTTACTTTTTCCATCTTTAATATTTCTTGACAAAAATGCCTAATAATACCTAAAGAACTATTTAAAATTCAACATCAAGAGTTAAATCAAATCAAATCAAGTTTTATTTATATACATTTATAAACGATTTTTGGTCGAGCCAAAGTGCTGTACATATAATAAAAATAGCCTACAGAAGAGACACTTTACAGCAAATACAACAGCACAGATTGTTCAGAATATCAGTATGAGAAAAACGACACCCTCTATCCTTAGACCCTCTGTCCTTAGACCCTCTGTCCTTAGACCCTCACATCGTACAAGGAAAAACTTCCAGAGAAAACCCACAGTTTAAAGGGAACATGGGAGAAACCTCAGGGAGAGCAACAGAGGAGGGATCCCTCTCCCAGGACGGACAGACGTGCAATAGATGCCGTGTGTAAATCCAAGAGATAATACATTTTACAGCATATAGACCGAATGTTAGGAAATGCATGTGTCTGTAATAAGAAGATGAATCCACGAGGATGTCAGCTACAATCCTGTGGAAGCCATCAGGGAAGCAGCATGGTGAGACCCATCTGTAATAGATACATTTAAAGTACAATTGAAATCTCAAAATTGCCACATGTCTCAGATGTGGATAGAAACTCACACTGGTCCTCTTTACTCTTATTTGATTTACTGTTAGGGTGACCAGGTGTCCTGCTTTGATCCAAATGACTGACAACGAAAAAGTCTAACGCCACCACTGCTTGGGAGAAAGAAACGATGTGATATTTGGGCCCATTTTCGCTACAATGAGGCGGAGAAAAAAAGCGAATGCATTGTTTTATCAGAAGGGAAGCAATGTGGCCATAACACAGGTAAAAACACCACAAACCTGACCAGATACTCTCTGCAAAGCTTCTTAATCATTCAACCTGTGTTTTTCATCCAATAAGGACACGATATAATCTTATTGTGAAATAAGTTTAAAGGGGACCTATCATGCAAAATGCACCTTTGGACGTCTTTTATACATGAATATGTGTCCCCGGTGTTCCAGAGAACTCACCAAGTGTCAGAAAACACAACCCTCTCTATTTTCCTCCTTCGCCAAATCTCTAAAAAAGTGGCTGAAACGGATCTGAAAAAAACGGATCCAGATTTCAACACTTTCCTACGTCACAAAGAGACGTGCTCCGCTTATTGGTCAACTCTCCACCTATCAGGGGAATGAGCCACGGCCACGTGCATTGCCGGGATCAATACCAACCATCCGGGAGCAGGCCAGTGAGGACACATCCAATTTTGAAGCTGTAAGTTTTTATTTAGCGGTGTTTTTCCTGATAAAGCTATCTCTAGCTTGTAGTATGTAGCATGTAGCTTTGCCGTATCAATGTCGCCTCAAACCCAAATAGTAATCGGTTAGGTGTTTATATGTTTTTGTAACATTTTATATTGTACGCTCCGCAGTCTTTGCTTTGTCTTTTTATTTTAATTATCAGGCATTTGCTAACATGTTCAGACATACTGCCGTAATGGTGATCTGTGGGAAGGCTGTAAAGCCACGCCTTAGCCGATAACACAAGTATTTATTCTCCTATTTATTAGTATTTTGTATGCTCTAAAATCATATTGAGTAAGTTATAATAACAAACGTAATCTTCTGTAGGTAAGTGCCGTTTTTTCCAGCGTTATATGTAAAAGCTTTTGTGATTGTAGTCTGTAAGAACGATCAGATCTGTAAGCTAAGCTAAGCTACGCTACGCTAATGAGACATGCCGTTTTTTGCAGCGTTATATGTAAAAGCTTTTGTGTGTTTACGCACATGAATATAAATGGGGGTGTGTGAGGATACAACACTGTGTGTATGTATGCGAGGGGGGACACACACCACGAGTAAAACGGAGCTAACGCCCCGTTGGTCTGTTGTTGTTGACAAGGCCTTACCTAGCAACAGGCTAATTAGTGGCTAGCACTCATTACAGTCAGTCTACTGAGCTCAGCCCCTCCAACATATCATCTGTATTGTGTCAGAAACACAGCATGCACGTTATGGTTCAAAACTAACTCAGATTGGAAAAGGCTAAGCAAAGAGCTTTGCTAAATAGAGAGTTTTAAGCCCCATCTTTTGGGATTTCAGACGATATTTATCCAAATAGTATTTTCTCATCCTGAATACTAAATTGAGATGATTTTGTTCCAACTATGTTTTCTTCTTTACAGGCCAGCACCTCACATACTTACTAATTAGTGACAATTTGTACATCCTTTGCTATTATTTACATTTTTTTTTCTCATGGCGGAAATGAAAGACTGTACCTGGCAGCCCTGCACTACAATGAAAACGCTGAGCGTGCACAAGCCACTACATCCACTGGAAACCCTCTGTATAAACTGCAGTTCCCAAAGGCCAGGAAGGGAGAATGCAGAGCAAAACCAGTAAAGACTGACCCCACATTCCGTAAGTGTTTAAAATATTTATTATACAACTATTTACAAATATAAAATTAGAAAGAACTTTCAGTTTTTTACATGCATATACTAATCTAAACCACATTTTTTGTTGTGCTTTTTTTTAACATTGCACAGGCTTCGTGGCCAACTTGATGGACCTCATCTTCGACCAAGTCTTTGTGGACCCTGCACCATTATGAGCGACCTGACAGGGACGAGGTCATCGCCGGGTATGCTACACGGTTCAA